GAAACCCAAGGAGGGGTCGCTATGAGTCGGGGCCGACTCGACGGCACATAACAACAACAACAACAACAATTATATTCATATGTTGTGTCACCAACACCACTCTCTTTTTCTCAATTTTCCAGTCATCCTAAGGGAATCTCAGTCTCCCTAAGCAATGGTTTCATGGGTCCCCTTGTCTCTCATCCCTCATAACCATTAATGAACAGGAATTTTAGTCTCCATATATTTGCCTATTCTAGATTTTTCATTTAAATGAGATCATACTACATTTGTCCTTTTGGGATTAAGTTATTTCACTGAGCATCATGTTCTCAAGGACCACATTTCTCTTTTTGGGAGAGTAATAATCCATTGTACGTATGACATCCACCTTCTTCTGTCAATAGAATTAAGGTTTTTCCAACCTCTATACTGATACTTGGGTATGTCAAACATTTAAGCACTTGGTTACTAACTGAAAGGCTAGTAGTTCAAACCCACCCAGCAGCTCCTGGAAGAAAAGCCTGGCAGTATACTTTTGAAAGGTCACAGCCTTGAAGACCCTACAGAGTGCAGTTCTACTCTGACACATATAAGGTCATCAGCAATCAGAATCGGCTTGATAGCAACCAGTTGGTTTTGCTGTTGTTTGCACTGACACGTAGGCACCATAGGCTGTACTTTTGTCCTAAGAACCCCTAAGCACGTTTCTCAGGGCCTCTACCCTGCAAAGATGGTTCCACAGCTCTTGAGAATGGCTGAGCAGTCAACAGCATGAAGAGAGGTGTAGAGTGCCACACAAATTGACTCCAGCTCCAGCTGTGCTGTGTGACATTTAAGTGACTACCCGTCTGCTCCAAGAGGCGAATCACAGAAAATTAGAGCTGGAAAAGACCTATTAGGTCATCTAATCCATACCCTGCCAGTTCACAATCCCTCCCCTGCTGCACTCCATTCCCTGGCACCTCATCCAGTTTGGTTTTAAATAGCATGACGTACAGAGAGGGTTGCCTTCTTTACAAAGATCCTTTCTGACAGGTGCAGCCAAGACCTCACTATTTAATGTCTACTCTAGGTTCATGTATGCAGTAATGTCTTGGTTACTCACTTGCTCCAGCCTGGAAAAGCCCCTGAGAATGATTCATGTGACCTCTTTTTGCTACAAAGGAGCATTTTTAGGAAGCTTAAAAGACTGTGTTTCCTCATTTCAACTTCTGTTATTTCAGTTATAAGCTTACTTAACACTGGTTAGCTTCTGCTTTCTATAACAATGGCTATAACTATGACTAACGAGTACCTTTCATTTTGTTTCCCACATTTACTTGGTACATTTTTTAATCTGATTACTCATCCCCTTACTTTCTGTATTGTGTTTACCAACCTAGCCCATCTCTGCAATACAAATAAAGTCTATTCTAAACAACCAAATGACTGGCCTATTCTATTTCCTAATCTTTGACCTCTTAGTTCTAGCTATTCTAAGAGGAAAAACAGTAAACCTGGTGCAGACTTTCTGGGTAGTCTAATTTAAGAAACATGTTTGTGTTTTCCTTTACTATGTCCAGGCAGCAAACCTCCCCCTAGACACAAGCCAAGGATGCATTTGAGGCTTACCTTAATCTGGCCCTTTAAGCAAGGCTCACTGCACACAGACCGTACTATCCCACTCTTATTCATCTGGATTTTGTAATCATCAATGTTCAGCACTCCCTCGTGCCAGGTTCCAACATGTACATAGTCATAGCGATTAGCTTCAGTGTATTGCAGATTCATGATATCGTATCTACAAAGAAAGCCACACGTGGGTCATGAAAAACCTGAACATTTGGAGAAAACAAACCCAATGTGATATATTGATAATAGTAGAGAAGGGAGAGAAGAGTCATCTCTCCTCCCAACGACGGCTACTGTCAGTATTTTAGATTACTTGCAATGTTTCCTTTGTTATTCCAAATATACGTATTCCATTCTTCAGCCTCTGTTCCTGTATCTTCCATGCTTACTTAAAGAATATATTAACTCTTAAACTTGTCTCACTCTGATTTTCCAAAATATAATTCAATGTGTGCTGCATTGATCACTGTTGTTATGTGCCATTGAGTCAGACCCGACTCATAGTGACCTCTCCCTGCATTTCAGATGGTATCACTATGGAAGTAGATTGGCCAACCTTCCTTCCAAGGAGTGGCTGGTGGGTTTGAACCACCAGGCTTCTGGTTAGCAGTCAACTGCCTTAGGCACTATGCTACCAGAACTCCCTATTTTCTTCAAATCAGCATTCACTGTGTTATTCTTAGAACCAGTAACAATCCTTTAAACATGAATTTCTTAATTTGATTACTTTTCTTCCAAATTTCTTTTGCACATTCAGTTTCCATTTTCATTATACTGGATTAAAATAAGTGATTTTTACCAAGTCTGATGCTTTTTTTTTTTTGGGGGGGGGGTTGCTAATAGAGCAAGGAATCTGAGGAACATATTTAATTAGTAAGGATGGTAGAGATTTAACATCTTGTGCATTGACATTTAAACAGATCTCTTCCCTGATTAGGACAAATATTTTGAATCCAAGTAATTGTTGTCAGCTATTTCAGTCATTTCAAATGCTACGATGCTACAGGATGACAAAAGCTACATTTAAAAATCTTCACTGTTGCCAGAGTGTATTCTGGGAGTTGGACTTCATTTCATTCTGGTGTTGGCAGTGGAGGTCATCTTCTAATGCAATGCAAGGAACACGGGACCTGATGTCAGAATGTGCAAGCTGAGGTCTCTTTTCTAACATTTTAACAGTAAATGATACTACTTAGAATTGTGGGAATTTATTAAGATAAGGTAAGTCAAACTACAACCGAGACAAATGCATATGTGAGGCAACATCACTCTAGCATTCATATGTATATTACTATAAAATACTCTGTTTCTATTACTATCAGGAAAATGGAGAACATCTTTATGTTGGTACAAAAGTAACACATAATAATAAAGTAACACATAATGACTAAATAACACATAATCAGCTTCCTTCCTCCCAATAGACACACACACATACAAACACATACACGTTATCTCTCAGCCATTGAAAACTCTCTGGTATTGTTAATTCTTCTATTTGTGTTGCTATTTTCCCCAAGTAAACTACAACTCATGTGCAATTTCCCACAAATCATGCCTGCTTCTCTCCCTCACTGACTAAGGAAAGTGGGATATATACCCGAGCAGAGTCCTCATGTTCTTGGGCTACATACAAGAGGCATGGTCTCTTGGTCTTTATGTTTGACCCAAAGAAAGGAATGGGGACTAAGTAACACATAATCAGCTCCCTTCTTTCCTGTAGACAGAAAGACAGACACACACACACACACACACACACAAACCAACACACATACCCATACACCCCTAGTTCATCCTGGTATCCCTTGTTCTGAACCTGCCTCAGAAACTTTCTCAGTCTAGCACTCCCATAGCTACAACCAATCAACCTATGGTAGCCTCAGAAGCCTGTTGGCCCTATGGAATAACCCAGCTCTTTCCCCAGACAACTTATATCAGTTTAATGGCTCTTCTGTCCACCCTTAACATGCAACTGGGTTCTGTCACCTATAGGGTAGACAGTAGCTTCTCCATATCCATATTCTGGCAACTTTTACAAATAGATGTCTCCTAAAAAGAGAGGAGACTCTGGAAAAGTAAAGGAAGTTTCTTTTTTCCCTACCAGGTGAGCAAAACTTACCTAGGGTGAGAAGAGAGAACACAACTGGAGCACATTATGTATCTTTTTTGCTGTTTTAACCTATGGCTAATAGAGGATTATCATGTCCCTTGTTACTGAGACATCCCAGAACTTCCTTTAGAGTAGCTCTCTGCTTTATACCCAAATAGGCATTAACTGTGGGCTTGAACTCATTTTGCTGATCAATGATACTGATCTACACCTCTGATATTTTCCCATTCTAAACTCATGAAGGCTATGAACCTGCTGTGAACGTTTGGCATGAGTTGCTTTATCACTTCCTTTAATTTTTGTGTTTTACTCCATATCATGTTATGACAAATCCTTGCACATTTCCATGAAGGCGTGTTTGCAATGCTAGCTTAAGATAATCTCTTCCTTGTAAATCAGTTTCCTAGGAGTTTTATTTCAACTTTCTTATTTGCTCTTTCATAAGGAAAATCAGTTCACACTTCATTAGCATTTTAGAAACTGAAAAATTTCACAATATTTTGGTATGAAAATACATTTCTAAAAAGCCCCAGAAGCTGGAGGGCCAAAAAAAAAAAAAGGAATATTGAAAGATATCAAGGGAAAAACACTGTCTTACTAACAAGAAGCTCCTCATGGGTTGTGTGTGCTCTTTTCTCTTGACCCCTTCTTGGCATACTGCATTTACTTGGCATATTCTCATGCTGTGAACTACATCATTACAGCATCCTCTACATGCCTTCAGATTATGTGATTATGTTGCATGATGATTAACTAAAATAACCACAAATTGGACCAAAAGCAGGAATGATGGCATGGCAGGAGATGGAAGTAGAGGGAGGTGGTTGAAACAGAATTGAAAACAGATTAAGCTAGCCAATTTCAAGCAGAAAGAAATGATTCCTGAAAAAAGGATCCAGGAGAAGGCTCATGATGAGAATATGTAATTAATGATGGAGGAAAAACAAGCTAAAATTGTGTACCTATATAATGGAGAGGAGTCCTTGGGTGGTACAAATAGTTAATGCACTCAGCTGCTAACTAAAAGGTTGGAGGTTCAAGACCACCCAAAAGCTCCTTGGAAGAAAGCCCTGGTGACCTACTTCTAAAAATTCAGCCACTGAAAACCCTATAGAGCACATTTACTCTGACACACATAAGGTTGCCATGGGTTGGAATCGACTCCATAGTAACTGGTATATTGGATAACCTACAGAGAAAGTATGAGAACCCTCATATCTTTAAAGAATCTAAAAGGTATTTGTCTTGTGCTGGATACATTTTGTACTTTTTCCTATAGAATCAAGAAGAAAGATTCCATTTCAAATCTGACTCTTCCCTAAACCTTGTTTCTGGTGGAATGATTATAACCATGGGTATAGAGGGAGATCAGTTTTCTAAACTGCAGGCCCACTTGTTCTTCCTGGTACCATGTCCTAAGGCATTCAGCACTCAGAAGCTTTTCACATGCCCAGGCCCTGGACCGTCCCATCCATCCCACTTATACTCCAACAAAACTCTGCTCCCACCTAACTGGTAGTTTGGAAGGAATCTGATGAATTCATTGTTTTGACTGTTGGCAATGCTTAAACAATTTGTCCTTCCCCTGTTGTTGATTTGATTCTGACTCAGAGCAACCCTATAGAACAGAGTACAACTGCTCCATAGGGTTTTCAAAGATGTAGTCTTTATGGAAGCAGACTGTCACATCTTTCTCCTATGGAGTGGCTGGTGGGTTCAAACTGCCATCCTTTTCATTAGCAGCTGGGTGCTTTAACCACTATAGTACCAATGATTAGCCCCCCAAATAACTCTCTAAATGTAGGATTTTATGGATATATGAGAGGAAGAGATGTGTGGAGAATTATCTAGGGTCAAACAGAATTTTCTGGTACCTAAGAAGATTGCCAGCCACTTTGCCTAATTGGAATTGGCCCAAAGGCAGCAGCATATGGATGAAAAATTACAAGTCTCAAAGTCAGACAGCACTGTCTCCACCAATGACTAGCTGTATGACTTTAGGTGAGTTTCTTAGCTTCTCTGGTACTAATTTCTTTTCTATCTATCTATCTATTTGTTTATTTTTATGACAATACACAGTAAAAAACACACAAAAGAATTTCTACATGAACAATTCAGGTTCCATTCTTCAAGTTGTGTCATCTTTTATGACAACTCTATCCAAACTATTGCACCATCATTAACACAAACTCACTGTCCCCTCAGATCCTCACTTACCCATTCAAGCTACTATTGTCAACTTGATCTCATATAGACAATTCTTTGAAAGAGCACAATGCTTAATGCTTACATTCTTCTCTAATCAGGCTAAACTATTATTTGTTTCAAAGATGACTTCATGGAGTGGCTTCAGTTGGGTAATATCTTTGGGGAAAATTGGCTTGAATAGCTCCAGAAAGCTCTGGCACTCAGTTTACTCATCTGTAAAAAGAGAATGATGATACACCTATAGCAACATGGAGCCTCATGAGGAGTAAATTATTTGATGTGCTGTTTTAACACTAGATGGGCTTTTCTCAAAAGATCTTGCTCTGCAAAGCCATGTACTGAACGATGACAAGGCATGTGAGACAAAGGAGTCTCAGGGGACACACATAACACTCATTTTGTAACTAGAAAATTGAATTCATAGGTAAATGTGTACACGCGTAAGTAAGTGACAATAATTGACACCTCAAGAGATACCTGGATGGCCCAGGCTAGCAGCATGGAGTGTCCTTAGGCTGCCTGAGAAGCTATTTAAAATGCTAAAAAGCTTACTCGGGCATGGCTAAGAAAAAAAGAGCTCTGATAAAGGAGAAAGGGCAGCCATGTTAGGGAGCCATGCAAAATGTGCACCTCTGTGGAGAGGGAGACTCTATGGAGACACTCATTTCATGTTTTCATAAATCAGAGTTGAAGGCTTACCTGCCTATGCAGCGGACAACCTGAGGGCCCTTTTCTTCCCTGCTGAAAGTTATAATTCTACTCCCGGTCGCTTAGGAAAACTCATGATGAACACAATCACTCTTTACACTGACATCATTCTATATGTACCAGTTGCATATTACCTTTTATAATCAAATTAGTGTTATAAAAGCAAGTCTTCTAGCAGAACAGACTATATATAAAATGACATGGGAGACATACACACACACACACACACACATATACACGAATACATTCACACACACACACACACATATATACCAAACCAAACTCACTGCCGTCAAGTTGGATCCAACTCATAGCAAACCCTCCTTGGGTTTCCAAGGTGGTATCACTATGGAAGTAGATTGCCTAATCTTCCTTCTGAGGAGTGGCTGGTGGGTTGAACAGCCAACCTTCTGGTTAGCAGTCAAATGCCTTTCGCACTACACCACCAGAGCTCCTCTCTCTCTTTATTTATATACACACATACACACACACACACATCACACACATACATACTTATGTATTATGTATATTCCAAAACCAAAAAACCCGACCCATTGTCATCAAGGCAATTCCAACTCATAGCAACCCTATAAGACAGTAAAACTACTCCATAGCATTTCCAAGGTTATAAATCTTTATGGAAGAAGACTACCCAATTTTTCTTCTGAGGAGTGGTTGATGGGTTTGAACTACTGACATTTCAGTTAGCAGCCAAGTGCTTAACTATTGTGCCACTTACATTTAATTTCTACATGTACAATTCAGTAATATAGATTACATTCATTGAGTTGTAGAACCATTCTCATCTTCCTTTTCTGAGTTGTTTCTCTTTCATTAACATAAACTCACTGTCCAATAAGTTTCCTATCTAATCATTTGAGTTGCTGTTGTCAATTAAATTCCATATAAATATATTTTAAAACAATACAATGCTCAAGGCAGACATTCTTTACTAGTAAGGCTAAACTATTGTCAGTTTGTGTAATTATTTAATACTCATAGGGACTCAATCCCTAAAAGAAAATTATTTCTCTTCTTTTTCTAACAGTCACATAAGCATAAACTTAAGTTAGCCTGAGCAGAAGGAATACATGGGTAGGATTTGGTTTTCTTCTTAAATCAAACTCTTTAAGCAGGTGTAATATTCAAAATATTACCAGTACCATGTACTGGTACTGGTTCTGGCAGTACCATGGACTGCCAGAAGAACTAACAAATCTGTCCTGGAAGAAGTGCAGCCTGAATGCTCCTTGGAAGCAAGAAAGGCCAGACTTCATCTCACCTACTTTGGTCATGTTATCGGAAGGGACCATTCCCTGGAGAAGGGTATCATGCTTGGTAAAGTAGAGGGTCAGTGAAAAAGGGGAAGACCCTCAGTGAAATGGATTGACACAGTGGCTGCAATGATGGGCTCGGTTATAGCAAGTACTGTGAGGCTGGCACAGGAGCAGGCAGTGCTTCCCAGGGTCACTATAGGCAGATCTGACTCAATGGCACCTAACAAGAACAACAACAATATTCAACACACTTCACAACCAGTTTAGCATTGGAATCTGTGAATCAGGAAGGATGCTAGTCTGGTGCTGGCAGGGCAGGGGAGGATCCTGCTGACTAGGTATAAGATCTTCAGATTCTTGGGCATACAAGGAGGTCCCAGTGGTTCCATGGGAAGAACCAGGGTGATAGCTGGGCAGGGAATAGCACTGGTGAGATAAAGAGTTGTGGATGTTAACTGGTAAGTATATCAACATTTTAAAAAGCTGTGGAGCTATGGTAAGGCATTTAGCTGCTAACCAAAAGGCTGGCAGTTTGAACCTGCCAGCTGCTCCATGGCAGAAAGATGATGCAGTCTGCTTCTGTAAAGATTTAAAGCCTTGGAAACCCTATGGGGGTTGCTATGAGTCGGAATCAACTAGATGACAATGGGTTTATGTAGTCTTTGGTGAGTTCTATCAGAATATCAGCCCTGTCTTTTCAGTTACCAAGCTGCATTTATTCTCATGATTCCCAGAGACTATGAAACCAAACAGAGCCAGAGTTGCCATCTGTCTTGTTTCAGAAGGCTCATAAGGTTATTCAGACCCATTATTTAAGAAAAACAAATGAACAAACCTACTTTACCTTCCAGGAGCATCTCCTTTCTCATCAAACCACACCTCCTCTCCAGACACGCCGATGAAGGAGGACTTGATGAGGAAATCCAAGAGTTTTCGGCCGTCAATGGGTTTCATAGCATCACAGAGGCCCACATGGCCCAGGCAGAGGGCATGGTGCATGTTCTGCAGTCCATGTGCCATAGCATAGATGGCATTGATGACAAACCCCATTTTACTGTCCTGGACATAGTTCTCTTCTAAGCTTTCATTGCCTGTAACAATAAAAACAGATCAGTACCAAGGTAGTTATACTGAAGACCAGGCCTGCATGTTGAACTTTCCGATGCTTTTCAGAGCTCCCGGAGAAAGGGCAAGCTACTGCAGAAGGTCTTTTCAAATTTTGAAAAACAAAGATGACACTTTGATGACAAAAGTTGCATCTGACCCAAGCAAGTTTTCAATTGCTTCATATGCATGAGAAAGTTGGACAATGAAAAAAGAAGACAGAAGAGGAATTGATGCTTTTGAACTACAGTGTTGGTGAAGAGTATTGACTGTACTGTGGACTGTCAGAATAACAAACAGATCTACCTTACAAGAAATACAACCAGATGTCTCTTAGAAGTGAGGGTGACGAGACTTTGACTCACTTAATTTATACGTATCATCAGGAAAGATAAATTGATAGAATAAGATAACATGTTTGCTAAAGTAGGGGGTCAGCAGAAATGAAAGGAACTTTCAATGAGACCAACTGACACAATAGCCACCACAAATGACTCAAACATACTGTGGTGGTTATGTTTGTGTGTCAACTTGGCTAGGCCTGGTTGAGTAGCTGAGCAGCTGGTGGTAGTTATTCCTCATGATGAGACTGGCAATCAACTCCATGGTGGGATCTACCACAAGCAGCTGAGTAGCTGCCTTTGGGATGTGGTCT